CAAGCCACGCCAGGGCAACGAGTCCAAGCAATGCCAGATGTGCAGATGCAGTGCCAAACTATGCCAAGCAGCGGTTCCAGGCCATGCCAGGCAGCGCCGAGCAATGCAACACAATGCTTTGCATTGCTCAGAACTGCTTCTTGCCTATCTCTGATTTAAGACGAAGCCAAGACGAGGATAACATCGGGTGAGGATAAATCGAGAATCTCTGAGATCCTGCGGCTCTGGAGGATGTCTCGGGCGCCGCGGCCTTCTCAAAGCGCTCTGGATAGCTCTGAGAGCGCTCCGGGACGCTTTGAAACGGACTTATCCTCGTCCTAGCCCCGTCCGATGATTGGCACCGCGCCTGGTTCATGCCCGAGGGGCTTCTGGAAGGCATCGAGCGACTCGCGCCACCTCAGGGATCTTCTGATCTGGTCAGTCCAGGCCCAGGTCAGTCAGGCCTTAGGGCCTTGCAGAATCCTGCAAGATCCTGCGCCCAAACCTAGGTCAACGCGAAGGATCCTGCAGGATCCTGCACCCAAGCCCAGGCCAATGCGACCCCGAACCTGCAGGATCCTGCAAGATCGGGCGCTCTGGCTGACCCCCGGTTGCATTGACCCCCGTCTCTTGAGCCCCGTTTGCGACTCGCGCCACTCGGGGGCGGCCAAGAGGGGGGCGTCCAAGAGGGGGGGGGGGGGGGGGGAAATGGGGTGCAAATCATGGCTGGCGGCATGTGCGGCCCAGGGGGGAGGGGGGGGGCCAGGGACCGTTGAGATAAGAAGAGGCCCAAGTAATCTGGGGAGATATCTCCTGGCCCTCGCCCTGACGTCCCCCCCCCCTCTCTTAGCCTCCGCCCCCCCCCCCCTCTCTTGGCCGCCGCTGCCCGAGCCACCATCGCCGCTGCCGCCTCCGCGTCGCTCCGTCCTGCCGCGCCCGACCGGCCCTCTCGGGCCCCTCCCCGCCCCGCCTCCTCCCCCGGGGAGGGGGGGCGCGCTCCGCGTGCCGCCGAGGCCTTCTCGCCAGATCGCTCTCGGGCGTCCGCTCCCCGCAGGCCAGTGTTCGATGCCGCGCGCGTGCCTTTGCCGTGGGTCGGGCGTGTCCCCCTGCAGGCGGATGTTGGGCGAAACATGAAAAATACCCCCTAAAATACCCCCCAAAAATTATTCAAAATAATCAGAACATCGTCCCCAGACCATGTTCAGACTATTTCTAAATACTCCTCCTGTAGAGGGACAGGCCCGACTGAATCTTTGCCGCAAGACGGTCCAGGCTGTTCCTCGATGGTCCGCGCGCTCCCCAGACAGGGCACGCGTCCGGGCGAGATGCCAGGCTCCCCCGTGCCGCCGAGGCCCTCGCCAGATCGCTCTCGGGCGTCCACTCCCCGTGCCTGCTTTCGATGCCGCGCGCGCGCCTTTCTTCGCAAGACGATCCAGGATGTTCCTCGATGGCAGGAGAGCCCAGAATCGAATCGATAAGTCGAATCGGCGATCGAAATGAATCGGATCAGCGGAAATCGGCAGCCGAGTGGGGAAAAATCGAATCGGTAGACACTGGCTAGCGGCTAGTAGGCATCCATTGAGATATCGGATCCCAAATCGGAATCCGACGTCGACTCGAATCGCAATCGGAATCCATCGAGATCGAATCGAATCGGATCGGCGGAATCGACATGAGCCTTGCGACGGTCCCCGCCCCCCCAAAAGAGGTGCACGCGTCCGAGCGCTGCCGAGCTCCCCGGGGCCACCGAGGCTTCCGCCCCTCGGGGCGGCACCGGACTCGGGGGCCTCTGGAGGGCGTCCTCTTCCAGGGGGACCCGGTGCCGTCTGCTGCTCCTCCACCAGCGCTCCTCCTGCGCCGCTGCGGCTGCTCCTCCCGCTCCTGCCTTCTCGCTCTCCGCTTCGGCTCTTCCCCTTCCCGCTTCTGATCCTCGTCCTCGTCCTCGTCTGCCTCGTCCTCGTCTCTTCCGATTATTCCTCCCCCTCGTCCTCGTCTCCTCGTTCTGATCCTTGTCCTCGTCTTCCTATTCTTCCTCGCCCCTCCTTCTGCGCCTCCTCATCACCCGGGCGGCCTGGAGTCGTTCTACGCAGCTGGATTTCAAGTGAGGCGCGCATGCGGCGTTCAGCGTCAATTATGTAGCTTCATTTCAAGTTGGTGTCCGCAGAGCTCTTGGTTGTGATCATCTGGAGCACAGCTCAACTAAGACGAACTAGCGGGTTTGCTGCGTTTGGTAATTCTGGTCATCAGGGTGCTTGAACGCATTGCACCACAATGTGTTCAATACTGTCTATGTTACCGCGTGTCACCAGCCGCTACCGTTTTCATATCCGCAACTTCGCAAATAGTTTTGGTACTCATCCCAACTTGGGCACTCATGCTGTCTTCCCAAACGAATGCACGCACGCAGCAAGGCCGCCTGGCTGTACAGCTAAGCGCATCACGCTTGGACAGTGGCTGTGAGGCTACTTGACTGTTCGTGGAGATATGGCTAAACAGCGCAATATACCCAATTCAGATACAC